GGACAGCAGCAGTGCAGGCAGAGAGCTGAACAATGGCAGCCCCAGTGCAGGTCACGGCTCAGCTTCAGGGCAGCGCCTTGGCTGGGTGCACTGGCTCTGGTGCTGCTCTTCCCTACTGTGAAAAGGTCTGCTCTGTTTTCCCGGACACCACAGGGTGTCGGGCATTCAATTTCTTCATAAATAGAGCAGAGAAGCATAGCCGTAGAATCACACTGTGGACACATTTCACATCCTATCAAAGGAGTGAACGCTGGGCCTTCAGGGGGATTGTCTGTGCTCCTGTCAGTGTTCCTCGGACCCTTAGGTGTTGTCTGCAACCAGCCCATTCTGGGTAAGGGCTGTCAGTCACTGCAATGGTGACATGTAGTAGACTGTTACACAATTATTTCCATATGCTATGTAAGGTGGGAGATGGTCTTCTCCGTACTTTCTCAAGGTTGCTTTCAGATCTTAAATCTGCACGCACTGAGTGCCCTCAGGTGAGCAGAGGCTGCTAGCCATGCTCGGGCCTAGGGGCGAGGGGCTGTTCTCGGGTCCTGTGTTAACAGAAGCAGCCAGCACACTGCTAAAGCCACCACTGTGCTCCAAGTTGCTATTAGAGTGACCAGATTTTAACATTGGTAAGGTGGGGGCAGGGCAGGGCAGGGCAGGGCCTGACAACAATGCAAACTTTGATAAGCAGTTCTCCATAATCACTTCTCGGCAATTGTTTGTTATTATTACAGTTTAACATTATAAAATTAACAAAAATAATATAAAACTCATATTCTGGCGAAATAGCCACATGACAGCCGAAAACCGTATATTCCCTTCTTGTTCTCCCACCTGTTCATGCATTCTTTCCAAAAATCGGGACTTTTTTAAAATGCCATGGGACATGGGACAAATTGTTGAAAAGCTGGACGTCTGGTCACCCTGTACAGGATGCTGTGTCTCCTTTACTGAATGGCCCCAACTGCTCTTAAAAGTATGCATATATGTCCACTGTTCTGGTTAGAGAATTAGATCCAGAGAGGTCAGTTAGCAGTGACAAGTGCAGTGGGGCCTCCATAGCTGACCGCCTCCTTAAGTGGCCCTAATTTTCACCGCACATGGATTAGTATAGCAGCCTCGTCTTTAGGGTGTCCTCTCTGCTCCTTGGCCAGTGTGTGACAGTCCCTGGGATGGTCACGAACAGAGGTCAGACTCTAACACCGTGGCTGAAATCCAAGGTGAACAGTTCCCCAGTGGTGGTGGAGGGCTCTGCCGCGGCAGCTATGGGAGGTCGCTGTGTGTTTAATTGCGGGGGGAGGGGGCGGATAATGTGAGGGAGATGAGCCCTTTCCCTCAAGGAGTTTATCTTGCCAAGCAGACTGAGCAGATTTCTTTTGTAACCTTGATCCTGGTCTGGGAGTGTGACCAGATGGTGAATGTGAGTCTGTTTGTTCCACAGAAAGGAGCCGGGTATCACCTGGACCTCTTCTGGGTGGCCGTCCTCATGGTCGTGTGCTCCTTCATGGGTCTCCCGTGGTATGTGGCCGCCACCGTCATCTCCATCGCTCACATCGACAGTTTGAAGATGGAGACGGAGACTTCAGCACCTGGAGAGCAGCCCAAGTTTCTGGGAGTGAGGTGTGTGAGTCAGAGGACGGTGGCTTTACAGAGCAGGTTCTCCAGACACCTGTGCCAGTCAGAAGGGAAGGAGCAGATTTGGAGGAGATAGGGCTGGTGATAATTAATTATTCCTATATTTTCTGTTCCAGAAAGGAGTAAATTTTCATCAGAAAGAGGTTTTGATTTTATGTTTGCTGCTTATGATACATAAATTTTTCTTGATTACCAAAAGGCTAAACGAGGCAACATAAAAGCACAACCAGACCCTTCTCTGCAGCCTGCAGGTGGTGCCTGGTGCTGCAGTGGTCACCTGCCACCACCACGTATAAAGGCTCTAAAACCCTAGGGCAGGGGTCCTAAAACTTTTTAAACAGGAGGCCAGTTCACTGTCCCTCAGACTGTTGGAGGGCCGGACTGCAGGTCCCGAGACGAGTCAGCTGCAAAGCAGGACAGGCAGCGGTGGCAAAAACACCTGGCAGGCTGGATAAATGTCACCACAGTTTGAGGATCTGCCCTTGGTCTGCTTCTCATTTTCAAGATTCTTATTTTCCAAATCATTTTCTGCCCTCATAAGCTCTGGGGAACTTTTACCTCCAGCTGTTAGATTTGATAGCCATGAAGGGCAATGATGGAAGACCACCTGTGTCCTCTGTCAAGGCCTCTTTGCAGCAAACCCTGCTGGCGAGGGCTTGGGTAGAGCTCACACAGGGCCATCCTTTCCCACGCCATGACAATGGGTGATTCTTTGGGAGGGAGGGGCTGGAAGAGGGTAGAGGATGGGAATCATATTTGTTAAAAAGTACTTTTGTCATTATAGATTTGGAAATTAGACTGATGTGTTTTTTGCACTCATGAAATTTCCCTGAACTCTTTGTTAATTAGCATGTGGGACAATGTAATATGTGTCTCCTATGAAAGGTATAATTACACAACAGGACAGATTGTTTTAAAAGTGAGGGCTTCCAAGAGGCCTGTAACTTGATGGACTGAGAGCAATTGATCTTTCTTTCTTGATTCTAGAAGGAGCAAACAGTGTAGCAGGATCACTTCTTCATGAATTCAAATAACAAACTGCAATAGCTTTAAGAGATTTCTATAGTTATGTTGAGCGTGTATGCTGTCCTTGACATATTAATTACATGATATCAACACCTTTGCTATTTTAGCCAAAACATTGACTTGGTCAACTTAAAGTCTTATTTTGAAGGTGAAAAGACAAGCGTGTGTTTATGAAAACAAGAGGCAGATTGGTAATTTTTTGATTTGGTTTCAGGGAACAAAGAGTCACTGGAACCCTTGTGTTTATTCTGACTGGTCTGTCAGTCTTTATGGCTCCCATCCTGAAGGTAAATATGTGAAGCCCTCACCTCTCCCTCCTTCTCAGGCACTGACATGATTGGATGTGTGAAGAGTGAGACCCCTATAGAAATCTGCAGGACTCTTCAGTTCTGTGGCCAGTGAAACAGAAGGCAGGCAGCAAGAGGGCTGCAGAGAAGCCTGGCGTGACTTCCTTCCCACTGTTGCACCCCTGCCCTTATTATTTTTGCAGTCGTTTGAACCATACGAAGTTCCCAGCGTTCCCACATTCTGACCTGTGAGCCCAGCAGCGTCAGGGAGTTGGGTCCGACTGATCCCCACACACTCTGTACCCTCCACACTCCCGAGCACACTCTCCCCACCACCCTCCAACGGCCTGTGCTCAAATCCTGCCCACTTTCCCCGCTCGATTCCTGGGTAGCATGTGTGATTCAGGATGAAAAATTGGAATTTTTTTCTCCTGTTTTTAATTATTTTCTTTGAACCAGAGACCTCATAGTCCACAAAGGGATATTAGACTAAAATTACTTATCTATAATTAGAAAAGGTTAGAAATGGACTTCTAAAGAAGAAAAATGCTGTGGTAGTTACTTAGAGTTTAGGAGTTAATACTTAGGTCTGATTGGGGGTGGCTGTCTCCCTAATGGATAGATGTAAACTGTGTGTGAAAGTCGACTGCGGAGCAGAAAGGTAAATAAAGGTTAGTGTGTTCCTGCTCATGGAGCTTCCAGTTTCCTTTTGTGATATGAACATCTCATTCTTTTTTTTCTATTATATAAACAATGTGAGCCAACATTGATGATTTGTATCTTATGCTTTATACCACAGTATGAGGCGTGAGAGTCACCCACAGGCCTAACAGCTGTAAACAACCACTGTTAACAATATCCTTCCAACTTTTCCTTGAAAAATCTTTATTTTTAAACAATTCTAATTTCTAAGATTTTTCAAATGCTCATTTAATTACACAAGTAATGAGGCAGTATGTTCCTCTGACAATTTCAAACTGTACAGCAGTAAACACTTCTCTCAAGTTAGCAGATTTTATGCCAATCAGACAAATTGGAGGAAAATGAAACTTTTATATTTTAGCCTATAACTAAGACTGGCATTGCCTTGAGGCTATTTAGACTAGTGTGCTGTTACTTACAGAATAATTGGTAAACAGATAAAATATTTAATTATTTATTTATTTTTCTTTGTTTTCCACAATGCCAGTTATCTGGTTAAATTAAAATTTCTGCCTGGATTCGTGACAAAATACATATCTCATCTAAACATGAGAAATTAAGATTTCAGGTAACCTCAGAGAAATTGTCTCTGGCTATGTACAGAGAGGGCCTTAAAAGAGCACAGAAGCTGCATTCTGCAGGGACAGAAGGAAACATGCTGTCACCTCTGCCAGTGCAAAGCAGGTGGCAGGGTGGGTGTGAAGGTGCAGGGAGCTGCACGGCTTCAAGGCCAAGTGTTCTGTGCTCTGTTGTCCTGGATGCAACACATCGGCCAGTGGAAGAGCCTCCCTCTAAGGCAGTGCCCCTCATTCCCCATTTTTAGGGAGCTCATCACAGGCAGTTATAACCCTGTAAGGTGGGCGGCTGTTCTGGAAGCAGAGTCCCCCCCGGGCTCCCTGAAGGTGGATTCTGTGGCTCGGTGGCCATGGCCCTTCTAGGTTTCCTGCTGCTTAGTCACCAGCAAGGGAGCACACAGAAATCTCATCTGTTCAGATTAGCTCACCAACTCTCCCATCTTTTATATTACTTCTTTCTACTAATACAGCATAAAATCTTAATTCAAAAAAGCCAGATGTGTTTAAATTGTGTGTGTGTGCGTTACAACAAATTGGCTTTAATCCTGGAGAATCTGTTCATGAAGTTCAGTAATCACGTATGATCCCAAAGGGATGCAGAGAGCTGATACTGTATAAATTGCTATTTTGAGGGAGGAGATGCAAGACTCACACTTTCAACAACACTGCTTCCTAACCGTTTTCTCATTTTGCACCCGAATACGGCTACAGAGAAGCTAAAACTGAGAGCACTTTTGTTCTTCACGATGGGTCTTTTGTCTCTCCATGCCAAGGACCTTAGTACTCATAGAAACAGGTCAGGGCAGAGAAGGAAGCCGGGGAGACTCAGAACACGAGCCTGCTTTCCTTCCGCCTTCCTGAGTAATCCGTGCTCGGCTCACCCC